TTGGGCTCCATGTGGGGGTGGGAAAAGATTTTACAAAACCCCAAAGAAATGTTTCTGTGAAATTCTTTCTTGTTCTTGCCTTTTCCTTTTTTTTTTTCTTTTGGACATTCCAATGAAAAGAACTTTCTGGGGCTTTGGATCTCTCCTGTAGGCTTGGGAAACCAACCATGGAGACCAGGGTCAGCAGACCGGCAAGAACAGGAGGAGGGTAGCGCCCACCCTGCCAGGTGCTGCTCGCAAGGCAGCCCCCTACCTTCACCGCGGAGCCCTGTCACCTTTGATGTGGCTCTGCACTCCTGGGGCCATCCCTCACTAGGCTGTCCTGCCTTGGGCATGGGTCCCTCCAAAGCAGGCCCTGAAGCAGACTCTAGCCTGTGGTGGGGGTGATGACCCCATGAAGGACTGGTGGGGGGAGGGAAGGAGCCCACACAGTGGGTATCAGCAAGGATCTGGTGACAGTGTGGGCAATAGGTTCAGCTGGCTGGGGGCTCCCGGAGGTTGTGGGCATCCTCACAGGTGATCCACTTGTGGGTGTTAACCCACCCAGTCCCACTGGCTGTCAGCCTCTGTGCAGGGAAATCCCAAGGGAGGCAGCAGCTGTGTCCCATGTCCAGCATAGGCCTGGACGTGGCTGGGGGTGCCCAATGACAGTGTTACGAGGACACAGGGTTGGGGTTGGGGTCAGGAGAGTGCGAGGGTTGGGGGTCAGGACAGCGAGGGGCACGGACAGCTCCTTAGAGGCCAGATCCAGGCTGAGGGTGCAGGGGGGTGGCAGTGAGCGGCCTCCAGAGACGCCCTGACCCAGCTGCTGACGCATTGGCTCCGATGACTCAGTGCGGGTGACCGTGGCTCGGGTGGCCGTCTGGAGCCTCGGACCAGCTCAGGGCTGCTGCCGCCGCCGCCTTCCTGGGGCCCCGTGGCCCCGCCGTGCCGACCGCCCCCTGTCTGGGCTGGCCTGAGTAATGGGTCCTTCCCTTAGTCATCGGTCCCAGGCCCCAGCCCTCCCTCCTCTTCCTGCCCACCTCCGCCCAGCAAGCCTGCTTCTCTGTCCAGCTGGGTACTCTAGCCCCTGCCGGCTTCCTCCTGCCCTCCCTGAGTTCCCCCGAGGCTATAAGGTGTGTATGGGGGTAGTGGTGGGGGCTTCAAGAACAGTTGTCTCATTTGTGAAAGGGGAAGAAGAAAACAGCCTTGTGGGGAGCTGCGAGCCTTGCTGGGGGCATGAGGAGGAGTGCCTGGGGCAGGATGAGGCGTGTCCAGAAAGGAGCCACTTCTGTCCACTTGGTGCAAATTGGGCCCCACACCCTATAACCAGCAGTGCTCTGGGCTTGATCAGGGTTTCTGGGCAGGGGTGTCCTAACTCCCATAGGAGCATTTTAACACTGAGTGTGCATGGCCTCTGTGCTCAGCTGAAGAGCAGCCATTTGTCTCCCCTTAAAGGGCCTTTAGTTCGTCTCCCATCTTCAGCACCCAGAAATGGTATTTGGTAAGTATCCTCACACATCTCTCAACTTGCACGTGCGAGAATTTCTGAGATAAATCCCCAAAGTTGGCTTGCTCGGTCGAGGATGTGAGCCTTTACAATTTTGCTAGGTCTGCCAAACTGCCTTCCTGGGGGTTGTCCCACTTCCCAATCCTGCTGGATATGGTCACGAGCATCTGCTGCCAGATGGCCTGATGATTCTGCCCACCTGAGGGGTGAAGTCTGTCCTTTGGTGAGCACGCTTCCCTTATTGTGGGTGAGGCTGACTCTTAGGTCTCTCCAGCCAGCTGGGCTTCCTTTCCTATGAACTATCTGCTCATGTCATTTGTGGAGCTTTTGGTGGCGTTAGTGGCTTTGTATTGATTTCTTGGTGCTCTTTATATATGGAGGACCACAGGGAATATATATCCAGGGAGCAAGCAGCCCCAGGATGAAGTTGCCTCTGGTGTGAGGTCTTTCTTCAGGTGAAAACATGCACATTCACACCAGTCCCCAGGGCTCAGAGGAAGCACAGGAAGTCCTCTCTCCCAGCCTCACAATCTCTGAGGTGCTTCTAAGAGAAAAACGAGGCCAGCTAAAAGCAAAATGGCAAAGGCTGGGGTTGGGGAGTGTACAAAATCTGTGAGGCGAGGTGTCCACAGAGAGGCCAACCAGGCTAACTTGGCACCTGTCATGTGCCAGCACTCTGTGGGTGGTTCCAAGCTTCAAGTTCCCAAGCACTTGGCCCCATGCAAAGGCATGCAGGTGGCTTATATGGGTGGTGGCAGGATGCAGTCCCCCATGGGCCTTGCCAGCACAAAGTGCAGCTGGAGAAAGTAGGTAGTCAGTGGCCCCTCATTTGTGATGGGGGCTAGGAGGGGATGGGGGTCAGGAAGTCTCATGGCAGCTCTGTGACATCTGTGCTCTTTCCTGCCCGATTTGATAGCTAAAAAAATGAAGACCCAGAGGACCAGGGAACATGCCAGAGTCACACAGCTGGCACATAGCAGGGCAGGGGTGACACCAGATTCTAGAGCCTGGGGCGGTAAGGGCCATCCATGGTGCAGCCCAGGCAGGCTTTCTGGAGTGGGTCTCACCAAGGTGCATCTCCCAGGCTTTGGGTCCTGGCCCAACCCTCCAGACAGTCTACTCAGGGCCAGGCTGCAGGTTTGGATGATTTTAGGGGATCCTAGTGTTGAAAGTGGCAAGCTGTTGCTGTACGTGTGTCACCTTCTCACAGCCTGCAGCCACTACTGTGCTGAGTGGGATCTGCAGAGAGCAGCGTTGCCCTCCCCATGGCTATGCAGACCGACGATGTCTGCATCTGTATCTGCATCTGCATTGTAACACAGTCCCTGATTTGAGACACACCTCTTCCATCCTTAGCCCTGGGAGGGAGGTTCTAAGGGGTCACACCCGCTGTCCCTGACTCCCTGGCTGCTGTGCTGCACAGAGAAGGTGGAGCTCCTGGCCCCCAGGCCGGGGTGGGGCATAGGGGAGAGGTGGCTCTGCATAGTAATGGGGTCTGCTTCCGTGGGCCAGCCAACACACAGGATGCAGCCCAGCCCTCCATTCTGTGGGAGAGGCTTGGTGTCCCTGTCTAACCTCGGGGGTGGCAGAGCTGGGAAGAGAACCCGGAGACACCCCCGTTTTCTAGCCTCTGCACCTCTGTACTCCCAGTCCCATCTGTTCCCCCTGGAATACGGCTCTAATATGAAGCTGATTCTGGATGATTTGACCACTTTGGGTCCCTATTCCCTGGACCGTGCACCTGGTGAGGGCAGGGCTACTCTGTCTTATTTGTGCTGTGTCCTCCCACCGATGGGAAAGGGACGAGGGGCTGACAAAAAAAGCCTGTGAGGAGAGTAGGGGAGGGGAGTTGGACCTTAGCCATCAAGGGTCCTTAGAGGCTGAGGTGGGACACGGCTTTGGCTCAGGTGGTCCAGAGGCCCGTCATTGGTGAGAGGACACAGCAAGACCCTGTCTCTGGAGATGTCCTGGCAGGGCCTATATAGCGGAGGACATCCCTGGCCAGAGAGTAGGTACAATTGGAGGCTCTTTGAGTTCTGAGGGTCTGTGAACCAATGACATTGTCTTTGTAATCTTCAAAACACGGGTCCATTGGGGTTCTTGGGAAATTGAAAGAGCAGTGGCTCGGGTCCCAGCAGTGGCCATTCAGGATGGATGGGCAGCAGCACTGGCTGAGAGGAGGAGAGGAGGGGGCGTGTGAGGTGGGTGTCCCCTCCACCTGATGGGAGAGGAGACTGGGCCAAGCTAGAGGCTCAGGGTCCTCCTGGGCCCTTTCCCTTCCCTCCTTCCACAGCCTGCACACCCAACCTCCCAGACAAATCCCGGATCTGACTGCCGGCACCAGTGGCACCTCAGCATCATCAGCCCAGGTGACCACGGCCCTGGGCTCTGAATCACATATCTTCCTGCCTCCCAGGGACAGAAGGTTTTCCACATACATGGGTGGTGTCTCCCGCCATGTCCCCTGTCTCCTGCATCAGGCCCTCCCTTGCCATGTCCTTTATCCTCCCTCCATATCCTGTCCCCTGTACCAGGTCCACTCCCAGGCCCCTTGTCCCCCCATCTTGTCCTCTAATCTTTGGGACTCTGAGCACCTGGCAGACCTGTGGTCAACGCCCGGAGCCCTGCAGCCGCTCTGTGCATTGGTCGGTTTGTCCCCTTTCTGGAGGCTCTCCAGAAGGGCTGCTGAGGTGGGCAGCCCATGCGAGTCAGGGACCTTGCGTTAGTCCCGACTGTGTGCCTTGTGCTCAACACTATCACATCACCGATAGTGTTTTGGGAGCTGGTGGGCAGTGGGAGCCGAGGAGCCTTCTTTCCCCTCCTGCTTTCTTGGAAAGACCAGTGCCCACATTCCTGGCCCTCATTTGTGGGCAGGCATCAGTCCCAGGAATGGGATAGCAAGTTCCAGAGAGCCGGAGACCATGGGGAGAAAGCAGAGTGTGGCAGAGGATGGCTTTTGCCTGGGGTGGGGTAGGGTGTGGGCTGGGAGGGTCTTGGGAAGATTCTTGACCCCATGGGGGCCTGATGGACTGATGGGCACTGTCCCCTCCTATTATGTTTGGAGAATGAAGTGATGTATTAGGGCCTCCTAAACCATTCATTTATGGATGAATTTCTACAAAAGCTTTCCAAGATGAAATAGCCAAGGGGACAGGGGCTGAGGGGGGTGAGTTGGGGTGATAGAGGCTGAACCACAGAAGACCTGATGTAGTCTGAGGCCCTGGAGGTCATGGCAGGGTTTTACACAGGACCTGAGGAGGCACAGATGTCCTTGAGTGTTGTTTTGTTTTTTGAGGTGAAATCCATATAACATAAAATCCATCATTTAAAGTATCCAATTCAGTGGCATTTAGTGTTTTTGCAATGTTGTGCAACCATCATCTCTGTCTAGTTCCAGGACATTTTTATCACCCCAAAGGGAACCCCTTACCCACAAGCAGTCACTCCCTACCCCCACCCCCCAGTCTCTTGTAACTACTGATCTGCTTTCTGTCCCTATGGTTTTGCCTGTTCTGGACATTTCTTAGAAATGGAATCATGCAGCACGTGGCCTTTTGTGTCTGGCCTCTTTTACTCAGCCTGATGTCTTCAAGGTTCTTCCACACTGTAGCATGAATCAACCTCGTTCCTTTTTATGACTGAGTAATATTCCATTGTGTGCATACACCACATTTTGTTTATCCATTCATCCATTGATGCAAATTTGGGTTGTTTCCACCCTTTGCCTTTTTAAAACTTTATTTATATCCTAGAACAACGTTTGCTTTGAGCATCTTCATTTTGAGGTGCAGGAATCTGTTTCACTTGTCCCATTCCCCCCAGGGAGCTGTCCCCACAGATAAATCCATCTTCTTGAGGCAGTTATTCTTGATTTTGTGGTTTCTTCACATTGGCCACAAAGTGACAGGAAGATCCCATGCGATGTGCTTTTTCCTGGGCCCAGAATCAAATCCTCCTGTGTCCTCTTCTAGACATGGAGCCGTGGACAAGCTGCTCAGTGTGTCCCTGTCCCTGAAAGGTAGGATCAACAGGTGTTTCCCCTTGGCTGGGTGGCCACTGAGCACAGCCAGAGCCAAATTCTTCTGAAAACAGCCAAGGTGACTTTATGGTTGTGTAGCCACCCTCCTCTGGGGTTCTGGGCCCAAAAGGCACACTGGGCCCATGCCGTGCCAGAGTGGCTGGAATCATGCAGCGTGTGGCCTTTTGTGTCCGGCCTCTTTCACTCAGCCTGATGGGCCTTGAAAGCCAGCACCTTCTGGAGGTGGCACTCCCTCCCCCGCAGTGAGAAGGTGGCCCATGGCATCCCCACCCCTGGGGCTTAATACTGCCTGGGAGGCTGCAGCTTTCGAGTTCCTCCTTTAGGCCCAACTGGACCTCCATACTGGCTTCTAATCCTACCCTGTCTCCTGTGGGGAAGAGAAGAAGGGGTTATTAATGAGGGTGGCTTGCTGGGGCACAGGGACCAGTAAGGTGATGCAGAGAGTCAAAATGAGCACTCAGTAGGCACAGGTCATTTTAGAATGAAAGATGATGAAATAAATGTTTAAAAAGGAGATGGTTGGAAGCAACCCAAAGGTTCATAGGTGGGTGAGCAGATAAAGGAATTGTGGTGCACCCACACAATGGAATATTACACAGTCATAAAAAAGGAATGAAGCGGATTCAGGCTACAACATGGAAGAACCTTGAAGACATCAGGCTGAGTGACAGAAGCCAGACACAAAAGGGGGAGTGTTCAATGATCCTATTCACATAAAATGTGCAAAACAGGCGATACCATAGTGACGGGAAGCTGATTAGTGGCTACCAGGGCTGGGAGGAGGTGGGGAGTGACTGACTATTAATGGATATGGATCTCCTTTTGCAGTTCTGAAGTGTTCTGGAACTTGATAGAGGTGATGGTTGTACAGCACTGTGAGTACATTTTATTATGCCACTGAATTTTACACTTTAAAATGATGAATGTTGTATGAATCTCACCTCAATGAATACATAGAAAAGAGACATGGGAGCCTCTGTGTGTCCTGCATGAAACTCCTCCGCCCATTTCACAGGTGGCATATGAAGGCTGGAGAGGGTCATCCACTGCCAAGGCCAGTCAGTGGGCAGGTGGCAGACACCATGGGGACCTAGGTCTTATTTCCGCTTCTTTGGGGCTGGTTCTGGCAATTTCGTCTCCTCCTGGGGCAGCTTCAGGGCCCTACAAAGCCTGCCTAGGGTCCCCAGAAGAGACCAGACAACCCCGAGGCCTCTGAGCCACCTGCCCACCTCTGTTTCCCTGCAGCATGGCCGACAAGAATGGGGCCCTCAAGTGCACCTTCTCGGCCCCTGGCCATAGCACCAGCCTCCTGCAGGGCCTCGCCACCCTCCGCGCCCAGGGCCAGCTCCTGGACGTTGTGCTCACCATCAACCGAGAGACCTTCCACGCGCACAAGGTAGTCCTGGCTGCCTGCAGTGACTACTTCAGGTGAGCGTGGGCCCCACGGGCAGGGTGGAGTGTGCCTGCCCTTCTCAGAGGGAAGATCTCAGGGCTAGGGCATCTGGCCAGGGACAGCTCCGGCTCTGAGGGAATGTGACAGTTGGCCCATTTTGGGTTTAGAGAGAAGCCAGATGTCCAGTAAACCTGCAGGTTTTTTCCAGGTTTGCAACTTATTCAGACTGAGTAGACAAGCAGAACATGCCTGGGGGACACAGGTGGGCATCTGATTAGCAGCTTCTGCCCTGCGGAGGTGGCTGGGCTCCATCAGGTTTTCATTTTCTGTCTTTATTTGACATCTGGGTGCTGCGTGCGCCAGGCGCTATTCTAGGCCCCAGGGATTTGGCAGAGGTAAGACAGGCAGGAGTCCTGCCCTCATGGTGCCTGCGCTCAGGCCAAGGGATGGGATAGACACCTAGCCAGCAGCCATCATGTGTGCCAGGCTCTGTCCAAGGCCCCATGTGATGGGTGAGGCCTTGCTGGGTATATGGATCTGTCTGTCCCGAAAGCCCTTTCCTTAAAGCTCCTTCCCTGTGCCTGGCTGCGCAGGGGAGCAAAGGCCCCATGGAGCAGGGCCAGGGGCCAGTCTTCTCCGCCAACTAAGGTCTGTCACAGGCTGGGACGGTCTCCCTCATTCCCTCAGTGACTAGCCGGCAAGCTCCCTCTTGCCCCCAGAGAGAGCTGGAGTGCCGCCCTGGGGGTGGTTCTTCAGCCCCAGTTTGTCGGGGGTGGCTGACACGTCCGCACCTGCCTGCTCACAGTGCCCTTGCTTGGGCGCCCGCCTTGGGCTGCATGCTCCTCACATCCCCAGTGCCTCGCCTGTTGCGCCCCCTGGCTGCCTGCCCCACGGGCTCAGAGAGGCCATTCTGGGGAGCTGGAGCAGCCAAGCCATCTGGGGCGCCGCTTCTATTTTTATTCTGGATTTGGGGACGGGCGGGCCGGCCCAAGCAGAAATGCCCTTTAAAGGCTCCTCTGCGCTGGCACTGCAGTCGGAGAGGCCTTAAAAGGCAACGCTCCCTCCCGTCACCGTGATTGCTTCTGCCTTCAATGAGCTGACGGGACTCAAGGGGACAAGAAGTGGGGTCTGGGGGGCTGGTGAAGCGCTGCTGCGGAGGGTTGGGCAGTTATTACTTGTTGGGTCCACAGCAGCACCAAGTTCAGCTGTCCCTGTGCTGGGGCCTGAGCTGGGCCCACTGGGTGTGCGACTAGGGTATGGGCATCCGTCGGGCGATGTTGGGAAGTTCTCTTCCCTTGGACGGCTGTCACAGACGTGCGCTGATGGTAGTTACAGTTATGATGAAATGCCAGCTTGTCCCAGGAAAGGAGCCTGCCATATACCATCTTCTAGAGCCTCCCAAGAACCCCAAGCAGGGGTTTCTTGCCCTACTTCCTGGTGGGGGGCCCTCAAAGGCTGTGGGGGGCTATGACCCAGGGCCTGTGTCTCTCACCAGTGCTCACATTAGCACTGCTTCCAGAAGCAAGACAGTATGGCTGACAGAACTGGGGTCACTTGCTGCTGGGGGGGTCTCACGATGGGCCAGTGCTCCTCTGGCCATTCTCAGGCCTCCCTGACTGCCTAGGCCTCTGGACACGGCAGGGACCCTAGCACAGCCCCCTAATGGGTACTCTGACTTGGAGCCCCTCACCCCTCTCCAACTCGTGTGACAGTGACCAAGACCCAGGAAGGTGGAGCCGGTGAACATGCCGGTGAGGGGCTAGGCTCTGTGAACCATGGTGCATAGTGTTCTCAGAGTCCCTGCCTTGTCTCCTGAGCTTGCCTCAGGTGTGGTCTTCCAGGCTGGGTGCTAAGATGGGGCTGGAGATCTGTCCTCAGAGCCAAAGTCAGTTTGGTCTCTTCCTGCTGAAACGTACCCGCCCCATAGCGAGCAGCCCCTGGTTCCCGCCCTCCGAGCCAGCTGGGCCCCAGCCCTGCATACCTCTGGGTGGGGCTGGGCAGGGCCCCATGTAGAGGGAAAGAGTGAGGAGTTACTGTTTGTAGGAAGATACATGGCTTGGGGTGGATTAAAAATCTTTTTCTGGGGGGTGGGGGCATGTCTTTAATGAGCATCCAGCCTGCTTTCCCCTGGCCAGCCATGCCAGTCTTGTGGTATCCTGGGGCCAGGCAGTTCTCAGCCAGCCACAACACCCATTGGCTGCCCCGAGCCCACATGCTGTATTTCTGATCTTCAGGGCCATGTTCACGGGCGGCATGAGGGAGGCAAGCCAGGATGTTATCGAGCTGAAGGGCGTGTCAGCCCGCGGCCTGCAACACATCATCGACTTCGCCTATAGTGCTGAGGTGACGCTGGACCTGGACTGTGTGCAGGACGTGCTGGGCGCAGCTGTGTTCCTGCAGATGCTGCCTGTGGTGGAGCTGTGTGAGGAGTTCCTCAAGGCCGCCATGAGCGTGGAGACCTGCCTCAACATCGGCCACATGGCCACCACCTTCAGCCTGGCCTCGCTCAAGGAATCGGTGGATGCCTTCACCTTCCGGCACTTCCTGCAGATTGCTGAGGAGGAGGACTTCCTGCACCTGCCGCTGGAGCGCCTGGTCTTCTTCCTGCAGAGCAACCGGCTGCAGAGCTGTGCCGAGATCGACCTGTTCCGCGCAGCTGTCCGCTGGCTGCAGCACGACCCTGCCAGGCGGCTGCGCGCCAGCCACGTGCTCTGCCACATCCGCTTCCCACTCATGCGGTCATCAGACCTGGTGGATAGCGTGCAGACGCTGGATATCATGGTGGAGGACGTGCTGTGCCGCCAGTACCTCCTGGAGGCCTTCAACTACCAGGTGCTACCCTTCCGGCAGCATGAGATGCAGTCTCCGCGCACAGCTGTGCGCTCGGACGTGCCCTCACTGGTCGCCTTCGGCGGCACGCCCTACACCGACAGCGACCGCTCCGTCAGTAGCAAGGTGTACCAGCTGCCAGAGCCGGGCGCCCGCCACTTTCGTGAGCTTACAGAGATGGAGGTCGGCTGCAGCCACACGTGCGTGGCTGTGCTGGACAACTTTGTGTACGTGGCGGGGGGCCAGCACCTGCAGTACCGCAGTGGCGAGGGTGCTGTGGACGCCTGCTACCGCTATGACCCCCACCTGAACCGCTGGCTGCGCCTGCAGGCCATGCAGGAGAGCCGGATCCAGTTCCAGCTGAACGTGCTGTGCGGCATGGTGTATGCCACGGGTGGCCGCAACCGGGCTGGCAGCCTGGCCTCGGTGGAGAGGTATTGCCCGCGGCGCAACGAGTGGGGCTATGCCTGCTCGCTGAAGCGCCGCACGTGGGGCCACGCAGGCGCCTCGGCTGGGGGCCGCCTCTACATCTCGGGAGGCTATGGTATCTCAGTGGAGGACAAGAAGGCCTTGCACTGCTATGACCCTGAGGCTGACCAGTGGGAGTTCAAGGCACCCATGAGTGAGCCCCGAGTACTCCATGCCATGGTGGGTGCTGGCGGCCGCATCTATGCCCTGGGTGGCCGCATGGACCATGTTGACCGTTGCTTCGACGTGCTGGCGGTGGAGTACTACGTGCCCGAGGCAGACCAGTGGACCAGCGTGAGCCCCATGCGGGCAGGCCAGTCAGAGGCCGGCTGCTGCCTGCTGGACAGGAAGATCTACATCGTTGGGGGCTACAACTGGCGACTCAACAACGTGACAGGCATTGTGCAGGTGTATAACACCGAGACAGACGAGTGGGAGCGCGACCTGCACTTCCCAGAGTCCTTTGCAGGCATCGCCTGTGCCCCTGTCCTGCTGCCCCGGGCTGGAACCAGGAGGTAGTTCCTGGGACCCCAGGTCCCTGGCCTGGCCGCATGCCAGGGTTTCTGTGAGGGGCTTGGTTCATGTCTGGGCGGAGAACTGAACCAACCCCGCTACCCCCACCCTGGGACTGGCCTCGTGGGGCCTGCCGTGTTGATAAGGCCCCCTTCCCGTCCCTCCTTCCTTCCTGAAGCAGATCCTGGCTCCACGCCCTCTGGGGGAGCCTGCCAGCAACAAGGCTGATGTGTTATGGCAGCTGACTCGCACCCAAGGTAGTTTCCTCGCCTGCCCAGCATTGCATTCTCACTACCCGGTGGGGAATCGGGGTCTCCTTTGGGGTGTCATTGTGTGGCTTTGTCCTGCTTCTCTCCCCCTACCACCCTGCCTGGAGGTCTGTGACATTCAGATGCAAACTCATTAATGGTTGACTCCCCCAGTTTCTCCCACCCCCATGAGTTGCATGTGTCGTTTTAAAAACAAATGCACCCCAAACCTCTGTCACACATGGACCTCCAGGAGCAGGAGAGGCGGCTGGGAAGTACCTGGCTTGGGGGCAACCAGAGGGCACATTTCCTCCTCCCCAGAAGCCCGAGCTGCTGGGCGAGAAGGGCCAGCACCTTCAGGGTGTTTGCTGGCTTTTAGGAGGAAAAAACACAGCCGGCTCCCAGAGATGGCCCTTATGGGCAACAGGCCTTCCACTGGGCTCTGGGTCACTCCTGGGGCCTTAACAAGAATGGGGCCGGGACTCTGGCCCCATCCCTGCCCCGTGGATGTAGGGGGATGCCTGCTTTAGAGTCTCACAGTGCGTCTGCATTCCACAGGCCTGCCCCGTGATTTTTATTCTCTCCCTCTTTCCAGCCCTCTGCTCCCCCCTCACCCTGTGTTCAGTCAGGTTGAAATGCTGCCAGGTCTGTGCCCACCCGGCGTGGGCCGTCAGGCGGGCCATGAGGCCTCTCCCTTCAAGGGCTTTGCAGCATCTCCCGCCACATTTGTTTTGGTGTCTAAACCTCAAAATTTTTTTTCCTTGTTCCTTTTTTCTTTTTTTTTTTAAGAGGCCAGCACTGCTGTCTTATAAATGCAATTTTTACCCTTGGGGCAACTTAAAGTGTCTCCTCTGCTGCTAATGGACGATTGATGTCGTGTCTCTGTGACCCACTTGCCATGTAAAGAATTAACCTCATACCTTAGCAGACGTCGTCTCCTAATATTTTCCTTTTATTTAATAAAAATGTTATGGTAAAAAGATGGAGTGGGCCCAGTGCTGAGCTTGTGGTGCTTGATGGGTTGCAGATTCCTCATGTCCTTGTGTGTTTGGGGGCTCATCTCCCACCTTGAGTTGCAGAGGAGCCGGAAAGGGGACTGGCCTTTGGCTCTGGGGCATAGGGTGGGGTACAGCAGGAAGTGCAGCTAGGACTTCCACCAGGTGCCTGGAAGACAAAGGGCAAACCCAGCCTGGGCAAGGCAGCCTTTAAGAGACTCCCTCCTTGAGCCTGGGGACCCGGCCCCCTGCCACCAGCCAGTCCCCAGCGGATTTTGTCTCCATCTGCGTGATTTTGGGCAGTCAGGGAGCCCCCTTTCCCAGAGGCTTTAATAGGGGAGATGCAGGGCAGGTCCTGAAAGAAGCATGAAGTCACTGAGCTTCCATATGGGCCCAAGAGCATCTCGAATTGCCCCCAGCTCCTGCGGCAGGCCTCGCTGCGACCCGGGCTGCAAATAGGTGGTAGAGAATGTAGTTTTCAGACGGCCTTCTGAAAGGGCAAGATTCTGGGATCACCCTCAAAACATACCCGCAGGCCTGGTGTTCCATTCAGCAGCCATCAGGGCTCAGGGTGAGGCTGGATGTGTGTGTGTGTGTGTGTGTGTGTGTGTGGTGGTGGGTGTTGAAGTAGGAACTTGGCTGGGAACCAGTAAGGAGCCCACGCTGCCAGGGGCATAGAAAGGAGAGCAGCAGCCACTGGGGACTTACCAGAAAATTCCAGCCCCTTCTCATCCCCCCAACCTGAGCTCCCCTAAAGAGAACCCTTCCCTGCTGGAGGCACGGCCCCTTCAGGGGGGCAGTGAGAAGCCTCTGCCAGCTGCAAGTCCCCCCAGATCAGCTCACACCTCAGAACATCTTGTCCCCAATGAGCTGGCAGGGGTGCCGGCGCAGAGCGGGGGGTGGGGGGTGCTGCCGTATCTAACCGGGTTGTGCATAACTGTCTGGGCTGGTTCGTGGAATGTTCTTCGGGGCCCCCTGCCCCTCCCTCTTCACCCACCCACCCCCCCGGAAGAAAGGAAAATTATTTTTCGTATTGTAAACTTTAAACACGAAAAAGCTGTTTTTAATTTAGCAGAAACTGGCTTGAATCTTCACTTTGTGAACATTTGTGTCCTTCAGAGAAAGGCAGAACATCAGTGCACACATGCACGCAGACGCTCACACGCACACCTGCACTCACGCATCGTGACACGCACACCCGCATGGTCACGCTCCCAGGTAGCCTTGCTCATAGGCTTTGTAAGGTGCACAGGCGCTCAGTCACCCCCAAATAAACACACGCTCATACGTGCACACCCTCCTGGACCAGCTTGGCCCTCCCCTGCACAGCACCCTGAAGGGGTCTGGAACCCGTCACCTTATCACCTCTTCTTACCTTTCGCCCACGGCAGCTTGGGCATGGAGGGACTGAGCTTGTGGAGAGCCTGTCTGCTTCCAGATGTCCTGCTTCCCCGCTGTGGCCCTGGATGCGGCCGGCAGGAGCCTCCCTCCGCACCTGGGCTTGGGCTGTGGGAAAACGCCATCTCCAGGGACGGTGGGATGGAGGCCCGCGAGAGGGAGCCAAGTGTGACTTCTGGGGCCTCACCGTGAGCGAGGGCCAAGGGGGCCTCGGGGGAGCCGTGTGAGGTGGGAATCTGCCCCGGACCTGGCCAGCTTGGAAACCCGCCCCTGGCTTCATCTCTGAGAACGCAGCTCCAGCTCCTCTGTTCTCACGGGCCCCAGAGAATTTGCTTCTCATGGTGGAGCCTGAACGCACGGGTTTTATTAGGGGCACCTGGCCGTGTATCCCAGGAGGCACAGCCTGAATGTTTGTTGCATAAATGAGAGGTTCTGGGGTGAGGAGGTGGGAGCGGAGCCTCATCCACTCCAGCGTCCGTGGGGGCATCATTGGCCTACAGACCCCACGGGCAAGAGCCCCATCAAGCCGTGCTCCTGCCCACAACAAAGACCCCAGCTTAGTTCTTGTTGCTGACCATGCTTGTTGCCATCCCAGTGGCCATTTTCGCCCTCCTCACCAAAAGAGCTCTGATTTGATGCCAGCAGCAGCGTGCCCAGCCTCGGGGGTTAATTTAGGATTTGGCTGAGCCATTCTTGGCAATGTATTTTGTAGGGGGTCGTTTTTGATCTGGGCGCATTTCCCAGTTCTGGCCAGCACGTTTTAAGGGGAGGTCTGGGGTGGGGGTTTCTGGACACAGCAGCTGCGTTATTGCCCCTTTTCCTCCCTTACTGCTTCCTACCAGGATGTGATGCCAGGAGTTTCTGCAGCCATCTTGTGGCCATGAGGAGCAAGTTAAGAGAGGCACAGAGATGCTGCCTCCCAGAACCCTGAAGCCACAGGGCCACCAGGCCTACCCTAGGACCTCTGACCTCCAGACTCGTTTTTATGAGAAATCACGTCTGTGCTGCTCAAGATACTAGTGGTCATATATTCTGATTCTTGTTAAACAGTTCCAAAATTGTAATATAAATGTAACAGATGCTGGGGTTTCCCCACCTTATGTAAGTCAGGGTTTTAACTTGCAAGCAACAGAAACACGCTGGCCAATTTAAATAGTAAAAACGTACATTGGAAGGCTATTCAATTGCTCACAGAAGTGGCAGGAAGGCTGGAAAATCAGGCTCAGAAAATAGTAGAAATCAAGGGGGTGATGGTGACCAGCTGAAATTATACCAGGGAACTGGTTGGTGAGGTCACTTCTGCCACCACTACGGAATCCAGATGCCTCAACTGGCACAGCCATCTGCCATTGGCACTCTGCCATAGCCACCCCTGGAAACCAGAAGCTCCTGTCCTGATCCTGTTTCTTTGCACCACTTGTTCCTAAGTGGGAACATCCTGTTGGCCCAGCCCATGTCCTGTGCCAATGCTCCAGCTGCCTGAGGAGCAAGGAAAGTGAGTATGTCAGTGTATTAGTCAGCTGCTGCGTAACAAGCAACCCCAAGTCTCAGTGGCATGCAAAAATAAGTTTTTCAGGTGTCTGTGACTCAGTTATGTGTGTGTGGGGGGGGTGCTTGTTCTAGGCTGCCCTCAACTGGGCAGCTGTTTCCAAGTGCAAGTAAGTGTGGAGTGCCAGGAGGCTCAGCTCCACCTGCCTTGCACCCTTCTAGGTTCTCCTCTGATGATGGTGCCAGAGGACAAGGGGGAATCATGGGAGGCCTCCCAAGGTCCAGATTCAGAATTCTTGTGCTGTTGCTTCTGCCCATATGTCTTTGGCCAAAGCAAATGACACAGCCAAGCCCAAAATTAGGGCAAGGGAAATGTCTTCCACCTTATGAAGGAAGAATGCACAGTGTGCAAAGGGCAGGACAAAGAGACGAATGGAGAGCTGAGACTTATGGTTTGATTGACCACACCATTGGCTTTGGAGTTTCTGTTGTCAGTCGGGGGCCAAATTCCCATGAATGGGGACTCCCCAGCCTTGGATGGGGACTCAGATCCTGGGCCACCAAAAAGAAAAACTGGCTGTATTTCATCTGCAGCCACTGCCCCCTAGAGGTTGGGGAGTCGATTTTCTTTTATTATTGAATAGATTGGGGTGGTAAGTATCCTGGGTTATTGGACAGGGGGCAGGCTGGGGGTGCTATATGAGGAGTTCAGCTGGAGCTCAGACAAGTCTCAGCCACTGTAGTGTCACTGGAAGGCCTGCCCCCAATGTCCCTTCAGCATGGTGGTTGTAGGAGGTGGCAGGGGGAACTGGACTGCTGGCTCTGCTCCTGCCCCACCATGCCCCAGAGCCACCCTGTCCCTGTCCCCTCAACTCCAGCCTCCTTTGAAGTCTTGCCCCATCCCACCTTCTACCAGGTGGGAGACTGAGGGGCCTGGGTTCTTGTCTAACCTCTTCTTATTGAATTGTAAGGAGTGAGCTCTACGTTTGGTGTTTCTGGCTCCCATTGAGTCCTTCCCTTTTGCTTCATAATTAAACCTGGCTCTTGCTTTGCCTTTCGAAATTCTGATGAGGGCCTGGTTTGGAAGTGAAAGACGGGCCCTGGATGGTTTTCCTTTTTGCCCTCCCGCTCCAATGGCCCGAATTCACCTCCATGCAATGTGGATACCCTGGATTGACTAAGAGTCCATATAAGGCAGTGCAGAAAAGCAAAGCATGAAAACTAACATCTCGAGGTAGAATTCTGTTTCCCTAACGGTTACTGAGTGCTTGCGAGGAGGCAGGCGCTGAGCTAAGTGCTTTACATGCGTTATCTATTTAATCTTCCCAAGAGCCTGCTATGAGAAGTGACATTATCCACATTTAAGGCAGTAGGACAGTGAGTCTCAGAGAGATTAAGTTACTTTTCTGTTGTCACACAGCTGGAGAATTGGCAAGGGCTGGGCCATGCAAAACACTCAGGAGTTTTGGTTTTAACTGAACATATATTTAGAGGCTTTATGTGGGGGTGCTACGCGGCCTGGATGCAGGGGAAAGGGCAATCTAGGCAGGGAGCCGGCCTGTGCAAAAGCCCTGAGGCAGAATGCAGCAAGGCTGGATGGAGGACAAGGAAAAGGGAAGGGTGGATGAGGAAGCTGGCAGAGAACAAATGGGGCCAGGCAGAGCTATGGAGAAGAGGAGAGAAAACTGGATCATAGAGGCAGCAAGAAGTAGCTTACAGGACTTGCCTATTAGCTCACATTTGGGTGTGTTCTTTAACTCAAGTGAAGTTATTCAAGAATGGGACACCCAGTCCCTTTGGGTCAGGGCTTGCTAGAGAAGGACATGTCTAGAGTGAGAAATAGCTCTGTTTTGGGGTCAGGAATGGCTTTCTGGAGTGGGGGACATTTGAGCTGGGTTTTGAGGGGTAGATAGGAGTTTCCCAGGCAGAAAATGATTCATTCAACAAACACTTCCTAATTCCCCTTCTCTGCCTAGTCTTGTGTTAGCTCTGGGGATCCAGGAAAACAGAATGAACACAGATGAGTATAAAATGAGGCCAAAAGTGCTCAGAGCCATCAACAAAGGACAAGCCTTAAGAGTAGGGAATTGGGTGTGTCTGTGCCCTTTCTGCATCACACAGGAAATTCAAGCCCCAGAATGTTTGAGAAGGGAATGCAGTCTTAACTTCTGATCTTTGCTCAGCTGCTTTCAGAGAATGGGATGTTCCTGAGTCGTGGGACACATACCCAAGGGTACACTTCAGATAGAGCCCTCAGGAAGGTCAGAGGTGAGGCCTGAAAGAGGAGACGGTGCCAGCCATGAAAGGATCTCGGAGGAGAGCAGTCCGGGCAGAGGCAATAGCACATACAAAGATCTGGAGAGGGAATACCAAGGAAGCTGGAGTGGCTGGAGTGAGGGGCCAGGGTGTGTGAGGACCTTGCGGATCATTGGGAGGAGGGTGGATTTTTTTCCTAAGTGTGATAGGGAGCATGAGATCCGTCCTGCTTTACAAAGACTATAGGCTGCTCCAGAAGTCCTGCGCGGGCCACACTGGGTGGCAGAAGTTGCCTTTGCTGAAGGGAGAAAGTGAAAACCTCAGGGCTGGGTTCTGCCTCGGTCACCAGACACCTTGGCCTCACCCTCCTCGAGGCTAGGGGTCAGTGGAGCGGGAGGAGGAGGCTTGGGTCACCGTCCGGCCATTGCGCAATAATCAGGCTTGTGGCTTCCTCTGACTCATCACCAGGGTTTAGGATGGATCAAGTTACCGCCAGGGTGTGGGGTAAATGGGGGTGAGTAGGGTAAGCACTGGCCTCTCACCTCTGCCCTGAGGGCATGGCCCCTTGCTGTGGCCCCTGCTACCCCTCAAATCTTTTCTCCTCCATCTTTCTGTGCAGAAACTGGCTTAGTGCAGCCATATGTAAGTGATCAGGGTAATCGGCATTTTTCGAGCCCTTATTATGAGACGGGCACTTGACATGTGTTAACCTCATTTAAACCTTACAAGACCCATCTCAGAGAAGGAAGCTGAGCTCTGCTGTCAGACCTGAGTTCTAGTCCTGACTCTGGTGCTTGACTTGCTATGAACACTCCCATCCCTGCTCCCTGTTACTATTTCCCCTCCAATGTCACAGGATGGTGGCAGGAATTAGAAGTCACATATATAGAATGTCGAGTCCCTTACCTGAGTCTCAGAAACTTCAGTTTCAGTGCCAGGGAGAGAAGATGGACTTCAAATCAACTTTAGCAAAAAAGAGAATGAATTACTGGTTCATATAACTGAAAAGGCAGACAGGCCTAGCTTCAGGCATGGCTGGATACATCAATTCACAGGTATCTGTCTCCTTTTCTTTCTGTTTTCCTCTGTGTGAGTTTACTCTCGGGACACCTTTCTTCAAGAGGTGACCTATGGCACTGCAAATCTGTGTTATCCTTCAAATCAGCCACCCAAGCAAAGAGGGTGCTTCGCTTTCCCATAGTTCAAACAAAAATTGCAGAGTTGCATCTCATTGGGTTAACTGGGTAACCAATTGTGATGGTCAGAGCACGGCTCTGCTGATCGGCCAAGTCTTCCAATTTGAAGTGGAGACTTTGTGGGGAGAGCGAGTAGCGAGACCACCTCTACCGCAGATCATGGACTGAAAGTTGGAAGGCTAGTTGGTTGTTGACACCCAGAATAAGGGGTGGATGCTTGCTACGCAAAAAGGCTAGAAGTCCAAGAAAATGCTCAAAATCGTAACAAGAAAGATGAAACAGAGCAGTGGCAGTGCCCAGGGCACTCCAAATTAAAAATCTATGTATGTGTATATATTTAATGTGGACATTTCATTAAACTATTGTAAAATGTAAATAAAAGCATGTTTGGAAAATGTTGGTGTGCCCCTATGATCTCCATCAGTGTCTCCTCCAGCCATCCCTTGTCCTGGTAAAAAGTGTGCTTGTTGTGCGATTAGAGCTGCCCCTCCTGGTTTCTGCCCCCCTCACCCCCATGCCCTGAAATCCCTGGAGCCTCCTGAATCTAAACTTTTGATATTGGTGGTTGGGGTCCCTCTGTTTGGGGCAGGGACAACTGGATGTCAGAACCCCTCTTGCTTCCCTAGGTCACCCCCCCTCCCCGTCACTGGGGAGACTCTGCTATCCTTTTCCCTGCTGGGTCTGGGTGGGATTTCTGGACCTGTCCTTTAGCACCCCAAGGGAAAGCTGGCTTCCTTGAGCAAGACTGGACTGGAGAAATTCAGAGAGAGGAGGCTGAAGCTCTGTAGTTCCAGTTCTCTGAGATTGAGGACCCAGAGAATAGGAACTGGATAGGGAACAGGAAAGGGGAAAGAAAGGTGTTCAGGATGACACCAGGATTTGGGGCTGGGGACTGATCGCACCCCCCAAATCATGGTGGTGATACAAGCCTCCCTTTCTAAGATCACTCTCCTCCTGGCCCATTACTGGTATTATTTGCCATATCACATTTACCTCCATCTGAAATGTTCTTGGCTCGTTTATTGGTGGGTTATGTTCCCCCTCTCCCAGACTGTGCACCCCATAAGGGCAGGGAACACGTCTGCTTGCTCACGCCTTTTCCCCAGTGTGCTTGGCACATACAGACATTCAGTAAATGAATGAATGCATGCATGGATGAGCAACGCCCTGAATTGGTCTCTGAGCTGAACTAGTCCAAACCCAGGCTCAGTCTCGAATACCTTGGGGTGGGTGCTGGCTCCATCCTGGTGACCTGGAACGGTTTGGGTCCAGCAGATTCTCTTGGGGGCTCCAGTGCCCCAACCCGTCTCCGGACCTTGCCCAACAGTCAGGTGGCCGCTGTCCAGCGGGCCAGGAGGAGGCTCCATGCGCCTGCGCCAAAATCTCCATCCTCCTTCTCCCTCCTCCCCCTTTGGCCCCTCCAAACGCGCCTCTAAGGCGCGCGCATGCGCCGTCGCC